CATGTCTCTGGCCCTCCTATTGTTCGCACCTATGACGAGTATCATCGCAACATCGGCCATTTGAGTCACTCTACCACCTTGAAATGGTGGCAAAAGAAGAAATCACGCTCACACACAAGCCTCCCGTAGATGTCAAGACAGAAGAGTGGATGCTCAATAAGCACGATTTAACTACAGCCATGTCGTTCCTTAACTACAACCCCACCATCGATCTCTTTGCCTCTAACAAGGCCGCGCTCTTGCCCCGTTTTTGCAGCCCCAGTGTGTAATAAGCCGGACCTCCACAATAGACTCTATGTATAAACGTACTCTTAAGCAGTACGCAAATTATAAACGTACTCTTAATAGTAAGAAGAACTTAAGTTTCCTAAAATTGGTTTTAATGGTATTATTAAATAAACCTTTTCCATTTAACATATCAGATATTTGTATGAGGCCGTTAAAAGGCCTCAGTAAAATACCAAACATAAAAGAGTTGGTCTAGTTCTATTAATAGAGCTTTATTTACTTTCCAATTTTATGTATATCTGAATACTTCGGTAGCGAGATGACTCAACCGAATATAGGTTTCTAGGAACTATTAACGTTACCTAGTTGATCCTCCGATAAGCTAACCAGATGTGCCAGTCTGATGAAGGCTACGTCGGTAATTCTTGATAGTGGCAAGTTATTGGTTAAGACAATAACTAAAGACGTCAAGAGTATTTTTATTTTTATTTCTTTTTTCTAAAGATAAGATTTTATGAGTCTCTCGGATTCGCCCCAGAATAGAGCGACAACGAAACACTAAATAAAATCCCTTCGGCGGAAACAGTACTGAGAGGATTATATATAGGCAATGTCTCAGCCTCACAATCGCTTAGATTATTGCTGTTTTCACGAGGCAAACCTAACTTTATTAACGTCTCATTTCGTTTATTTATATCGATATTTACACGATATAGAATTTAGCTACGCGTTTATTTATTCTAAGGCATTAGTATCCCTTTTATTAGACCGAATCTTACACATTTTAAAGTTAGCGAAAGTATTAATTACTTAGACTACTTAAACGTAAAGGTAAGTTAACTACCACAACATTTTCTTCTTCACTTGTCTAAGCTAGTTGTTAAGAGACAAGCTAGTAGTCATAAGTTAAGATTATAAAAAAGAAAGACAACACTCCTTCTAAGAAGCGTAGAGCTGAAAAGAAGAAGATGGAGAGAGAAGTCGTTAGCGCTGTTGTAGCTATTACTGCTGCACAAGCACCCGACGCCGCTTCCGATGCATCTAAGAGCACGGTAGCCAAAGTACTTGCCTCTGACAATTATAGTCAAAAAGACAATGCTTGAGATAAAGAAGTAACCACTCCGCTTAGGAGACTACTCCATCTGACAGAGCCCGAGGGTCAACTATTGCCTCAACTTCAAAGCTTGCATTAACGAAGCCAAGAAGTGAGACAAGGTATACGTCTCAAGACGCCCCAACCCATTCTTCTGACAAAAATCAGAAAGGAAAGTACCCGATTATAGGGGACAAGGACAAATCTCAGAAGGAACCTATTATGGAACCAGAAGAGGAGGCAAGCTCAAGTAGCAAAACCGAATCTACGTCCGAGACTTCTAAGCCGAAGCACATAAGTAAGTTGATTACTAAATACGCTGATCTTAACAATCAGTTAGCTACTATTATGAAAGACTTGACTGTCGAATATGTAGATCAATTAGAAAGATCAGGAAACATCCCTCGACCTGTCGACGCTCGTTTTGGCTGTCTTGTCATCTTTAGACTTGAAAGTCCAGCACAAAAAGACTGTCATAAGATCGAAACTCAGGGCGGCTACGGAGTTCTGTTAGGTCGATCGAAGACTAGTACCCCCGATAACTGGCGCATCTAAAGTCTACACACCCAACGCCAGCACGACACACGCAATATCAGTTTTCTTCCCACCCGTCGACCTCAAACCCCAATGGCAAACGGGCTGCCTTCTCGGACACCCCTCATTCGTATATCATCCCGACAAAATGGTTCGATCCCCTCCAACGTATCACAACAGTTCAGGTCCCCTTCGTCTCTGCCTCCCCTCCCACTCCTCAGGCTTCACCCTCGCCGCCGGCATCTTCATAGCCCCAGACTTCTTCCCCACCAGTCCCTATTTTTCACTCCCCCCCCCCCCCCTCCTCGTCCCCATCCCCACCTGGACATTTCTCCTCTGGCTCCAACAGAGTGCAAGACATGTTGAACACTTTTGACGATCTATCATCCGACTCAAATTTCTCCTTTGCCACTCCTAATGATTACCACTCCGACCTGTCATCCCTCCACGTTCAGGCCAAAGCAAGTAAGCTCCGTGGCCAAAACATCTTCTCGGAATCGCGCGCTAATTTTGAAGCCATCAGTGCCAGTCGCTTTAACTCCCATCCTCTCCAGGCTAAATCTGTACAGCCCTCTACTAGTGCCAACATTACTCTCGTCGAAACGATGTCCCTCATGGACTCTACGGTTTCCAAGAGTATAGCGAAGGCCATGCAGGCCCCCGACTGGCCCCTTCAGAAGAAGGATATCGACGTATGACATTGCGGACATTCCGGTCCCTGTCTATATGCACCCTCCTAAAGGGGCCGTTGATTTAGGACATTAACCGCCGAGCACGGTCCTACGTCTCAAACGTGAACATTATGGCCTTCGCCAATTCTGTCGACTCTGGAACTTCGACATCAAGAACAAGCTTACCTCCATGGGTTTCGTCCAAACCAAAGGGGACGAATGCATATGGGACCACGCCGAAAAGAAGATCACCGTTATACTTTATGTTGACGATGTTGTACCAGCCATACCATGGGGCACATCCCATGCCATCTGATTTTTCACACAACTCGAAAAACAATACCTGATGAAGAACTTAGGTCGTGCACGTCATCTGGTTGGCTTTAAAATTGATCAAAATACTGCCGGTAGCATATCCATTGGTCAGGAGCCATATATCGACAAAATGATGCCAAATTTCAACCTGCATGACACACCCAATAAATCCACACCAGGCACCGAAAAACACTCATCGTCCCTAGCAAGCACCCCCTGTGAAGTCAAATATCGATCGCTATTAGGAGCACTGGGATTTGTCGCAAATATGACTCGACCTGACATCGCATGCACACTCAACCAATTAGCTTCGTGTAGCAGTTCTCCTCTCACAGAACATGGGACAGCTCTACAGCAAGTCCTGCTCTATCTAGCAGCAACGAAATCCTTTCACTCTCACATATCACACGAAGACACTTGACCAGAAAATTGACACTGCTATTCAAGCCTACTTGGATTCTGACTGGGGCTCATGTCTCACGTCTCGCTACTCCCAACCCGGTACTTTAATCAACTTCAACGGTACTCCCATATTATGGAAGCCTTCGAAGCAGAAAACAGTGGCGAATAGTAGCAGTGAGGCAGAATACATAGTGGCAGCCGACACTACTCGACAGTTGGCATGGATACGAAATTTACTACATGCACTCAAATACACGCTCACAACACCAACTAGCCTTCACATCGACAACCAGGCTGTAATCAAAGTCGCTTTGGGCACTGGTACTCCCAAAGGACTAAAACACATAGAAATTAAGGAGCACTACATTCGCGATTGCGCGCGACGAAAAATGATAGACATACACTTCATCCCCACAAACGACAATCCGGCCGACCTTCTTACCCAAAAGTCTGGGCCGTCGCAAACACGAACACTATACCTCAATGTTACTTACCGCTCCTTCAGACTACTACCTGCCCCATATTGGTAGTCTCCGCACTCGTCGCCGACGACGTTGACACGTTCCTTAAACTATTTCTCCTTCATACCCGCTCCCACTACAGTATAGCTTCAGGGGGGATATTAAGCACTAAAGTTGCTCAACTATCTTAGAAGCCATCCGGTAGAAGTGAAGTGGTCCTCGCATCCACATTACTCTTATTATTAACACTTATGATTTTTACTCATCAGCCCATTTGGGACTCCGGACAAATAGACACTAGTCCAGTTTTATTGACATAAAATGTCAAGTAATATTCAATTAATAAAACAGTCTCTCAGGAATAAAGCTTTTATTGGTCTCTATATTCTCTACTCCTATCCCTTTCTCTCTAATTATTTGTTTCTGTTTTTAACTTTTCTATTCAGTAGTCAGTATGACTGTAATCTGTATGTCGTTTTTGATATTTGATATTTTGATTTTAAAAGCAAAAATAAACAAATACATTAAACATACGTGATCATCGTGATGGAAATTGGAACTTTGAAATTCGAAACTGTATCAATTTTTTTATTTTTTTACTGTATTTTTAATTATTTATGTATATTGTATACAAATGGTCCATACACGGTATGACGTACATATGTACTACAGACTACAGTGACTACACTCTACAGTCTACACGCTACCGTCTACACTCTACAGTCTACACTACAGTCTACACTCTACATATTTACACACATTTTATCAATACATGGTGATGAGCCTGTGATGAGCATCTCTGCTATTTAGCTTTTTTTATAGTTAAAATGTTTTTATTATATTTTATTTACAAAATAAGCCGTTCGAGGTGCGCACAAAATACATATTACATATTACCAGATGTAGCCTTCGTCTAAATTTTATATAAAAAATACATATTTCATATTTTTGTTCAATTTTAAGCTGTATGATATTTTTTACTGTAGTTCAGTGCTGGCCCTGGGGCGGGCCCGAGGCCTGTACGCCTGGGTGCTCTCCCAAATATGTAGATTGTAGAATGTAGAGCATGTGTAAATAGACGGCCGTATTATCACTCATATATGTACGCATACACGATAAATCACCTCAAACAATGTGTAGGAAGCGCATACATACACATATATATATATATTAAAAATACACACATATATATTAAAATACACTCACACATATATATATATGTATATATATTTATTAAAAATTCACACACACACACACATATATATATATTTATATATATAAAATAGTTATTACATTATGAGTTCTTATAGCGCATCCCATCATCCCCGGGAATCCGAAATGGAGAGCACTGTAAGCTTGGGGGACGGCAGGAGTCGGTCTTTAGCCACTGTAAAATCGAAGAAGGGGGAAGTCGATCCAAACCTGTTACATCAAGTTGAATCGATGGACTTGGATGGTATTTCATTTCAATCTGATGCAGAGCCTATCAAGCACGGCAGTGGGATCCTCACTACTTCTATGAATATGACAAATACAATCATAGGCTCAGGTATATATGTATCGTCTTGTTCCGTTGTATATACATAGTAGCCACCTCACAGTGCGCTGTAAGTCGTGATACTTTGAAACATTTGCTACCGTAGTTTGTTTGCCGCCGCACGCTATTCTTGATCCTACATTGACCACAATAGATCAAATATATATATACATATATGTGTGTGTGTGTGTGTGTGCGTGTGTGTGTGTGTGCGTGTGTGTGTGTGTGTGTATAA